GTTTTTCTCCGGTACCGGGAACCGAACTCACGACCTTGCACTTGCCAGGCAGGCGCTTTGCCACTGAGCTAAATCCCCAGCCCCTATGAAAAATTTTCTTGAGCTACAACTGAATTTTTTTTTTAGACAGGGTCTCACTATGCAGCCCGGTCTGACCTCAGACACACAGTGGTCTTCCTGCTTTGGCCTCCTGAGTGCTGGGATTACAGGTGCACCACCATGCCTGGGCGCAACTGCATTGTTTTACAAGTTTTTTTAAAAAATAAAACCTTGGCAGGAGATGAACATTACCATTAATGTCTAAAAAAATTTCCAGTGCCCACTAACATTATCTCAAGTTTGGAAGTACTCTTAGGCTCCACTGTGTTTCATAAATGGGTCTGTGATGAGGCCTCATGACTACGTTCTGGCTATTGGAATCTCACAGTGTCAGCAGCAGCGATGTGCACAACTTCGGAGGTGTACCCCTAAAACTGAAAGCATGTATCTTCACCTTCCTCTTCCTTTGATGTTCTTCCTCCAACAAGCTGCCTGGAATGTGGATGTGCAGCTTTCCATATTGGCCTTTTAAAAGAGAAGTCAAAGTTTTTGGATAGGAGAACAAAAATATGGACTGTATAAGGACTCAGATACCCTGGCCTGCTTATGCTGGACAGCATTTCTCCATGTGTGAAGAAAATAAGCTATCTTGTTTAAGTCGCTATTTATTTGAGCTGTTGTTACAGAAATAAGAATCATGACCTACGATAATAGTATTATCATAGCGACAGAAGAAATAAGATTACTTCAATGATAACCCCAGAGTTTTATATTAGAGGTGACTGCCTCAGCTTTGAGTAAAAGCTGCTGTTTTGAGTTTTCTTTCTCCCCTTTCACTGCTGCTTGGGCCGTAAACAGAGATCTACCCTGTGGCCAGGCAACAAAGAGTCGTAACCAAAGAAACAAAAACCTGAAATCACCATGAATTAAACTATAGTTTCTGATTAATTGTGAGAAATCACAGTTTCATACAATGTGAAAACTTGAAGATGAATAGGATTTGAAAATTAAAAAATAAGGACATATCAGTGTATTAACTTGCAGCAGCGGTGGTTGGGATTGAGAACATAATAATTAGTCCGTGCTGTTCTGCAGTCAGGATTAGGTTACATGAGTACTTGTACTCACCAGCCACAGTGAATAAAATAATGGATAATCTTGTTATGTAGGCCAGTAAAATGAAGTTCTGCTTTGTCAACAGTTTCTGGGAAATGAACATTTTGGGGGTGTTTTGGTTTGTGTCTGGATGTCCCCCCAAACCCTCATGCAGTGATGGTGCGGGCTGCTAGATTTTTGATTGATCCATAGTCCAATGCTGGGATGATGGGTGTGAGTGCTACACCCACTCTGGCGCGGGTAGTTTGCATACAATGTAAGGGAGGAAACGAGGCTGTTTGCCGCCATTCCTCCCTTTTGCTCTTGTTGCTTTTGCTATTTTCCACTGCCATGAACTGTTGCCCTCTGCCATGTGCCACCCTGCCTTGGAGCCAGCCAATGTGGACTGAAACCTCCACAAACTGTGAGCTAAATAAACTTTTCCTTCCTTAATTTTGGGCGTCAGGTATTTTGTCTCAGCAATGAGAGCAAAGTAACCAAGACAGGGAGGTTACTGTTTTTTCTCCTGAGAGTGACCTCTTGTCAGTCTTCCCAGTACTGTGCCGCCTTATTTTGCTATATTAAGATAAGGTGAAGGAGCAAAATCTTTATAGCTAAAATATATTAGAGATGTACTGTGAGACAGACAGAGACAGATGGGTAAGTAGACAGCAGTAGAGCAATACTTATTCAAATGTATGTAATCAAACCAGAGTTTGAGCAGTTTTAAATCTGATTATCTCAGCGCCTAATCTAATTTTGTAAATTTCATTAACTCCTAATCTTACCAAGATATAATAGGATGAATGTCGTATAATGGATTCTTTTTAATTATCTGGAGACATTGAAAATTTGAGCTAGAGAGAACCTACTCATCAAGTTTTGCCATTGTAATGGGTAATTTAAATGTCCTGGGAGGAAAGGCTAGCTGTTCCCATTGGCCACTCTGGCTTTCCAGTGGGTGGTCCCTTTCCCCCAGGGATCTTTTCTCCCCGTGTCTGCTCTTCTTTTATTTTCATGCTCAAATCCCCAAACAAAAGTTCCACAGAAACTCCACCCATCAATCTCTTCCTATCTGTAAGTCTCCTTGTCAATAAGTCTGGCAAAATACCAACATTGTGTCATTTCATCCTTGCAGTCACTCTCACCTTGGGAGTTTATCACATTCTCCTGGAAAAAAAACAAACCAAAAACCTTCATTCATAGATAACTCCATCTGCCTCTCTATCCTTACACCAAGCATCTTAGTATTTAGAAGCTCTTAAATCCAGGCAGACCAGCCTTACCTGCAAATTGAAAAGAACTCTAAATTCTGACCATATATCCTACATTTTCTCATTCAATTTTCTTGTGTTCTTGAGAGTTACTATTTAAAAACTTTCTCATTCTCTTTAAATATACTAAATTATTTCTGAATAGCCCTAAAGAATTGATAGTTGACTCCATCTTCTCCTTGGAGAGATAAATAACTTTGGTAAAAGCAAATTCACTTGACTTGCTGCCCCAAGACTGGTAAACTTACCATCATCCAGAGTCATCCTTTCCTTTACAAAGACAGGGTGCTCCAGTTCTTTCACCTTTGCTTCAGATGCCATCCACAGTGACCTTTTGAGGGACTTCAGTGTACATGACTCCACTCCATTACTGTGGTCCTCAGTGACTCAACTTAGTGTGATCAATTTATGTATTTCATTACAGATAGAGTACACAGGATGCTATCCCAGACAATGGGTATCATATGACATACCTAATAGACAAAAGAAAATAATATTTTTTGAAAAACATTATGTCCCAAGAATTTGGGGTGAAAGGATTACAGGCCGATCTCTGCTACAACACCAGCAGAGTGAGTGTGCTTTAGAAGCCCTTAAGGAGGCAGTGGCTCCTGCAAAGAGGCACTCTTGGGTCCGATTGCAGAAGGATGATTACAGATTTGTCAGAGGGCTAAATGGGAGCAGCAGCTGCATAGGAGCCATGTGAAATAGCTCAAACAAAATGATGAGAAAGTAATATGTGGTCAGGGTAAGGAGTGGTAGGTGAGGGATTGGCAGAAGAATGAGCTGCTCGGTAGCTAAGGGTCAAGCCACAAAGATACTGTAGAATGTCAGGTGAAGTTTGGCTTTGATACAGATGGCTTCAGGGACCTGGAAGTTACTAGGCTGAGAAGTAGGGTGACTGTATATATAGTCCAATTGCCAGCACCAGACTTCCTGCTACCCTGTCTTTATTCATAAAACAACTTCCACATTCAAAAGCATCCCAGTTTGAAAGAAATACTAAATGGTCTCCCAAATTATAGCACAATATGTTGATTTTAAAAAGAAAAATTTTTAAAGTGAGAAAGTAGATGTAGGCTCAGAGATTTCCACAA